GGGGGGGGGGGGGGGGGTAATCCTATCCATTTTCCCAAACTAGGGACAGCAATGGGCCCTGATGTTCCCATCCTAGGCTGCCAGAAATTGGTTTCTTCTCCTCAAAACAAAAAACAAAAAAAACAAAAACAAAAACAAAAAAAAAGGTATGCTAAATTTCGGGCTCAGCCTCCAAAGCAAAATGCCCGGTGGCACCCGCTCCTGTTTTTTTTCGGGGCTCTGCTTGGCCCATAGTACTAGTATTATTATGAAAACTTGAAAAGGAAATTGGCAAAAAGAAAACGCGTTTGCTCAGCTACCTGGTAGCTGTACACGTTTCGTTAGAGTGACGTGGACGGGTGGATGTCCGTAGTGGGCCCAGCTGAGAAGAGCCATTCAATCTGCATGCCTTGTTTTTTTTTGTTTGTCGGGAGAGAGGAGGGGGGGGGGGAGAAATAATCTGCATGCCTGACATACTGTGTGTTAGTCATGATGATTAACGATAGAGAGCTGATTGTTGGGATTGCGACCCTGTTCATCCGAATAGAAAGCCCGGGCATTATTGCTGTATTTGGTGCAGCTTTCAGGCCAGATACACCAGGCGTTATATTCGGGTGAAGACGGCAGCTCCACCACTGGCGACTGTTTGGGAGAAGGGAGAAAGTGGGTGTATTTGTGGTTAGGATGAATCTCAACACTGTTCCTTGATGATGTTCATCTTTTGAGGAACTGTATAATAGAGTAAAGTAAAGAGAGAGAGAGAGAGAGAGAGAGAGAGAGAGAGAGAGAGAGAGAGTAAAAAGGAGCCACAGTGATGTCGTGCCACACCAGTCATGGTCATTGATAGAACATTGTTAGATACTAGGATAGTCCGATAATCAGATACGAAAAAAAAAGAAAAAAATGTTAATTAGATACGATTTGGATATTTCATTTTTTTGTAATTCAGACGAAGTTGGTGCTGTTAAAAAAAAAAAAAAAAAAAAAGTTGGTACTTTACTGTTCGCAGGGTTGGTGCGCTGCTTGCCTGTCACGTTGTCAATAGCATCTGCCAAGTTGGCATCAACGTTTGCCTTAGCTGAGTTGGCTCTCAGGATGAACCTGGGCTGCAGTATGGACCACATTCGTGCTGGTCTTCCTTTACATCAAGTTGACAAGTGGGCTGCTCCTTGAGGAGCCAGCAATCTTCCTTTTTTTTCTTTCCTTTTTTCGTTCTTTTTTTTTTTTGTTTTTTTTTTGTTTTTGTTTTGTTTTGTTTAACTGTGCCTTATGGTTCAGTTACTTAGTATCGGGCAGCTATCTTTTTTTTTTTTTTTTTTACCAAAATAGGACACAGCTATCTTTTGCTGCTGTGCTTCTGCTGCCTTTTTTTTTTTTTTTTTTGACTTTTTCGGAAGTTTCTCCTTAAACAAGCTTTTTTTTCTTTTCTTTTCTTTTTTTCAAATCGTTATAAAAACTGGAAACCGGTCCGACGTCTCTCACAAAGGCCGACCGTTCGGCCAGGTTCATGCCCCCGTCGCAGTCAGCAATGGAAACTAAAAAATTCAGCAAACTCAAAACACAAAAGCACAGACAAGAGTATAGAATTAAGAATATTGTCCTCTCTCCTGTGAATTTTTAATTTTTTTTTTTGCATATGCAGCCTATGCCAGCCATAGCAAAAAAAAAGTGCGTGCTTAAATTTTAATATTTTTTCTCAAACATTTGTTCAGACTTTTTTGTTCACGTCTGTTGTTTGTAACCGACCGAATGACCAAAAACTTGGCAAAAAATCGAAAAAAAAATCGAAAAAAAAAATCGAAAAAAATAAAAGTCCAATCAGACTCGTTCTCAAACACACTTTTCATGCATGTAAACAGCAACGCAGCATACTGGCGACATGCGCCCACTCAAAACTCAGAGATATGGCTTTCAGACACGAGTTCAACTATGGCGACTTCAGCGCCCAAACATCTCACTGTTCACATACACTGGATCACCCTGGATATCCCACACGCATCTCTAACACTCGAGCACACACACACACTCACTACTAACTACAGCTATGGCAGCTGTCGCTGCATCTAACCTATCGCTATGCTAACTCCCTCTCTCTTGCCCACTGCGTCCCCCGGGCTCATCTGCAGACCTCCTTGCATGGCTCACGCAGGAATGAGTGAATGGCTGGGAGCTGCCTCTTGATTTATACTTCAGAAACTCGTTGGTCTGCCCTTTACCATCGGCCCATGGTGCTTGCAGTCCCCCTGTGGTACTTGCTGGACCGGACTGGGACTGACTGGACCTTCCGCTGACTGGCTGTGGACTCACCGCTATCCTACCGACGTTGTACTGCTGCTGCACTGCGGTTTAGTCCACCACTTGCCTCACCACTTGACCACTTGCCCACTTGCCCACTTGCCTACCTTCTAGAAGGTCTACAGCTAAGCTTCCGGAACTCACTAAGACTCCTACGCTATAGACCTACAGATCGAACCCCTGCGGGCTATGG